ATTTTGAAATTCCCAATATTCCCAATTTTCCGGGAATTTATTTTTCAGGGAATTTTGGGAATTTAAAAAAAAAAAATTCGAGCCCGGGTTAACTTGAGAAATTCATATTGCGGGGTTTTCGCATGCGAGAGGGAAGAGTTTCATAAAGAAACAATAAATAAAGGTGTTTGTTGGTGCGAAAATTTTGCTCTGAATATTATAAAATTATAACACCATCTTTGCACCACATAATACACGTAAGCACATTTAGTAAGCTAATCTCCTATAGTGGTCAATTATCAATGAAATAGAGATGTTTTTCTAATTAAAACAGGTAACATGGGGCGAACGACAGACAAAATTTGGCTACACCTAACCTAACGCAACCTGAGAATAAAGTTCAATGTCGTTTCTGCAAAAGTTCCTGCCAGCACAAAAATGCTACGAAATGTAAGAAACATATTTCAATTTGTTTAAGAGCTCCAGAAGTCGTTCGCCGACAATTTAAAGACGACCTTGAAATCCAGTAATGGCTTTGGAGTACTTATCACATATGAACGTGTAGGGACGATGATAAACATCGGATGAAAAACAACTCTCCAACTTGCAATTTACAGTGTCCACCGTTGCTGCCTGCTGGAAATGCTTCTTGGTTGGAGAAAATTTTGGAAGTAGAGTGACCATCTCGCAATCCATCGCAACGATATCATTATCTTCATATTTTGACCACCACGGCTCAGAATCTGCATGCAGTTGGCGATCCTCATCCTTGGATGGGCGTTCCGAACTTTCCGCTGTGGTTGAAGCTGTAACGGTCACTTTCTTCTGTAATCAATAGTAATTATTGCAGTTAGCCATGGAAAATGTGATGATGTACAATGAATCCTATTTAAAATATCGTACAAAATTTACCTCCCTTGGTTGTTGGAAGTTTCTACGGCGAACATTTTTAGCAAGCTTCGCGATTCTTTTTAGCTCATCCTGAGAACAGGTTGCGAAATATTTTTCTAAAAATTGTATTCTTGCTGATGGCTTATCGTCACTTTGACACGACGCCCAATCCAAGTTTTTTTCTAAATAAATACAATTTGATTATTTATTAGGCCATAACTTTCTGATAAACACGAAACAGTTTACCTTATAATCACAATCCCATTCTGTGCCAGGCATGTTTAGAAGAATTGTTGATATTTTGATAATTTTGTGCGCTGAAAATCACTCTCTCCCAATTTATTTATGACTAGGCTTTAAGGGCCAATTATTGGCCCTAGAATGTTTAAGCCCGTCATTCAAGAAGAGCATTGATTTGGAGCAAGTGAGACTGTGTGCGGGCAGTTCAACGGTGCACAGACAGACACACAGATACACAGACAAACTTGTCGACTCGATTCTTTAATTAGATGTGGATGGATTTAAATATAGCGGTGGGAATATTCCCACTGAAAATTCCCAATATTCCTTCGAAAATTCCGGGAATATAAATGTTAGGGAACAAATGGAGCGAGGAGGGAATTTATTGGGAAGATTGGGAGGGAGGGAAGGTACGGGAATTTATTCCGAGGGAGCGGGAATTGTACAACCCTACATGTGATAACGAATTTTCTGACGCGCGGAACGGTCACTTTCGCCCATGCTTTCAATAGCATAGGCACACTTTTCACCACACGCCCCTCGCTCATCCCGCTTCTAAGATTCCTATTTGCTCACAATCTCAAACTTTAAAAAAATTTCTGAAATTTCGAAAGAAATTGGCTTTTGATAACAATCCTGAAATTTGGCAAATTGCATGTTTTTTTTAAAATTTTAAAAATTATCTTAAAATTTCAAAAATTCCACCTTTCAAACCTCTTTAAATTTTAAAAAATTTTTGCGATTTTGAAAAAAATTCTGCAGTTTTGAAAAAAAAATATTCAATTTGGCAAATTTCAGTATTGTTTTCAAACGCCAATTTCTTTCGAAATTTCAGAAATTTTTTCAAAGTTTCATGTGAGAATAAATTGGTTGAGATTTTCCAGCAGAGAAGCAAGATGTGTGAAGAGCGTGTGGTGAAGCGTGTCTGTGCTATTAATAGTAATAGCATGGGCGAAAGTGACCGTTCCGCTCGTCATAAAAGTCGTCACCAGGCGCCCAAATATGATTTTTACACGAAAATTTTTGTGCATCACCGGACTATAATTAAAAAATACGCCGAATGTATATAGTGGTTATGCTGGGAGCTCCGGGCACCAAAAAGGTTTTCCTCGTTAGCTAAATGGATCTCCTAATTAATTGCGGGGAGACGCTGTATATGTATATTGTTGCAGCCCATAAATTATTAATAAGGGGAACGAATTTATTTATGTATATAATTCCTGTTCTAACTAATTATGTATGTCTTCTGTGGAGTTGCATATATTGTTCAATTACTGCTGACGTGCATGATTCCTTAAACTTGGGCGGTGTGAATTTGAGGTTTTATCTTTCAGTACAACTAACATTAAATAACTTTGAGCAGCCCATATTCCAATGCCGTGGTCAATAACAGAATGTACGTATGTAAGCATTCATCATAATCTATTAAAAACAGGCCTGGTCCATATGTACAATAAATATAAGATTGGATTGCAGGTTGACTTATGTAACATTTTAAGTACTTTTTATCTAATAAGTTACAACTTTTCGCAGCGCAGTGCATAAGTATGTTCATTTTACTCAAAAATATGTAAATACGTATTTATGTACATAGTTATCTTTTATTTATTGTGACTTTAAGGTTAGAAAATATGCTTTGATTTAATTCAATTTAAATTTATAGAATTTTAGGTGTATAATTTCATTAAAATTATACCAAAGAAAACCATCTCAGCACTAATATAGTTTTGACAATGTCCAGAAAGTCCTTATCATTTACTCCAAACTGCAACTTCAAATTAATGAAGTAGATAAAATCAGATCCAACTTTTTGCAAAGAATAGGCAGGAATTTTTGTGAAGGTCGTACTAAATTGAGCTGATTCCACATCCTCTAATTTAACCAACGTCTGTCTACATCACACTAAGCTAAGCCCTGTGGCATAGTGGGTTGGGGGTTTGCTTGTCACCACGCAGGTAGACGTTCGATTCCATCTATGGCCGGGAAACTTTGCTAATCCTACTCGGCTTAGTGTATGTGCGGGGTAGGTGCTCGCTCCCTGCCAGGTGAACCTGGTGGAACGGATCCACTATGCAGTGGAGTGAGCCCCCACGGAGTCCGTTCTCTGACTTGGGATGAGCTGACTTGTTAGCCATAAGCCTCCTTTGGAAGACCAGTCTTAAATGTACGGAACAGTGGAAATAGGCTATAACATGGATAAACAAACAAACACAAAGACTTTTGGGTTCCAAATTTATTAAAATACACACAAAAATGTACATTATGTGAATATATTATCACCGTGATTTTGTTATCTTAAGCTATATTTATGGTTAATGTAACGCCATGGTAATGTACCCTTGATGTACTGCCCTCATCACGCAGATACCATTTATAGTTTATTCAATAATTTTCAATATAGCGTTAAATTTTCTTTCACTCTAATTGAAGTAAAAACGGTCATATTTCGATAAAATCATGCCTGCGGTAAACAAAAAATTATTATTAAAAATTATTATTCTTCGGAAACTCCGGAAGAGTTTAAAAAGAAAAACAAGGGAGTGTTCTATCAGACCAATCTTTGAGAATCGATTGAATCAAGGCCAGAGAATTTTAATACATGAGTTGAGGAATGACCCCTACTACCATCATCGATATTTCCGGTATGTTTTAAAATACGCTTATTCTGAATATGCTATTAATTTTCACTCAGGATGAATATGGAAAATTTTGATTGCATTTTGAGATTAATTCACGTTGATATTCTGGGAGCACATATACATTCACGACCAATTTCACCTATGGAGAAGCTTGCAATTACGATACGGTACGATTATTATTTACTGCACAAACCCACCCAAAAATATTGACAACGTGACTTTATCAAATATCTTGCAACTGGAGCAACTCAAGTCAGTTTGGCGTACAATTTTCGGGTATCCCCTTCATCAGTGTGCAAAATAATAAGGGAAGTTTTGTCTTCAATCATCAAGAGACTGGGACCATTACATCTTGCACCACCAACAACTGAGACATGGGTTACAAATGAAGTTGGCTTTCGAAATATATGGAATCATCCCCATGCAATTGGAGCTTTGGACGGAAAACATATCAGAATCGTAGCGGCTTCTCACAAGGGATCCACCCATTACAACTACAAAGGTTTTCACTCCATAGTACTGCTCGCTATAGCTGCGCCGGACTACAAATTTGCGTATATCGACATTGGGGCCCCTGGGTCTCAATCTGATGGCGGAGTCTTCTCAAGATCGTCGTTAGGAATAAATCTTCAGAATGGATCGCTTGGAATTCCAGGCCTAAAAGAACTAGGAGGCAAGCAGATGCCACATGTCTTTTTAGCCGACGACGCGTTTGCTTTAAAAGAAAATTTAATGAAACCTTATCCAGGGAAGTTTTTGGAAATTTCTTGAAGAATTTACAATTACAGATTATCCAGGGCAAGAATGGTAGTGGAGAACAGCTTTGGTATACTTTCGGCACGATGGAGAATTTTTGGCACATCAATTATGGGAGACTTGGAAATTGTGAAGCTCATTACACACACTTGCTGCATATTACATAATTTTTTGCTGAGCTGCAATGATTTTCATCACATTACACTTGATATGGAAATTAATGGACAAATTGTGGAGGGCAGCTGGAGAGAAACGACAAGAGGGGATTCCGGAATGGTAAATCTTAATCGACAAGGGAGCAACAATGCCAAGATGCAAGCGCACGTAATTCGAGATAGCTTTAAAGATTATTTTAATAGTGATGCTGGACGAGTAGCATGGCAAAACAGTAAAATTTAATACTTATTTTTATGATTTTGTTGAAACAAGCCTGTTAATTGTAATTTTAAATAAATAAGCAGTTATTGTACTTTTACAAATTCAAATAAACACTATTTACAACGTTATATCTAATTCACAATCGAAAATTAAATTCCCTATTGATTGCTGTAATCGTAAGTATTCTCGCCTGTTGGAGTCGGATATTTTTCGGAGCTTGCAAGCGACAACCTTTCCAAATGAGTCGTATTCATCGTCTTCTGACTGCAAAAGTTTCACCATTTCTGTATCAATAGCGTCCAATTTTCTTTTCCCAAATTTCACATGGGCACGCTCTTCAGCTTGAGGTTTGGCTCTTTCGGTCACGTCAGCGGACTCGATCGGTCGCGACTCAGGGGGCAGCAACTCCTCTGAGTTCACAACATCCGAGATCTCGACGCCCACAATGTCTTGATCACTTGCAGATTCTTCGAGATTTGAAGTAGTGCTGAGTAAAGTAAATAATTAGCACTATTCGGAGATTTGGTAAGTTGCATCATACCTTGAATTAGGATCGACGATGTCTCTCAAAAAATCCATCCTCGTCTCGTGACGAAAAAATGTTTTCTTCCCTCGAGTTGAGGGAAGTGGGTCTCCGCCACGTCCGCTGGGTAGTTTTAACTTTCTTCTGTATGCTGCATATTGCTGCCTCAACGTAGTCCACAATTTCAGACATTCTTTGGCTAATTGGTCAGAAATATGAGGACAGAGGAAGTCAAAGTAAAAATAATGATGTGTATACCTGTTTCCTCAATTGATTCACTAATTGCATTCCAGGCTCCCTCTCGTTTCGCTGCAAGTCGGTAATCTGGATTTGCTTTATCGAACAAGCATGGGAATTTAGCAACCTCATCAATTAAACGCTCCTCAATATCAGTTTTCGTTGGTAACTCCATTTTTGGCGATGAGTGAAAATTTCAATGAGTGAAAAAGTACTCAAGACTTCAACTTTGATGAGTGAAGGAAAATTTGTGGGTGAAATAAACTATAAATGGTTTTCACTTGTGTGAAATATTATGCAGTGATGCCTTGGTTACGTCTCCATGGCGTGAAATTAAGTATAAATGATCGTCACTCATATAATTTTTGCAATTACTCTAAGCTATCCACAAAGCATAAATATAGCTTTACATATCGTCCATACCTACGTACAAATGTCATCCTAAATAATCCTTGAATTAAACTACCTTAAATTATTTTCAACTGAAAATCCGGCCAAACCATATTTAAGCACTGGAAAAATAAAGCTCGACGCTCAGACAAGTTTCCGAGCTCTGCTTTATACAGAATTGAGTACATTAAATATCGCATTTTTCAACAAAATATTCTCGTATTGGCGAAAAATTCATCAAAATGGGACAGGAAGTGTACATTACTTTTGCACGCAATCCGTCAGAGGTGGACGATGCAATACTTCTCTTGAAATCTATTAAAGAAACGAAGAGTCTAAAACAAGGATGATTCTGCTTGACCCTTAAATTGTAGAGACGAATCCAGGTACATAATTTGGGAATAAATGAAAACATAGCTATAGATTTAAAATTAATGATTTCGTTGAATTATAGGAACCAATTGGAAAACTGGTTTGATAAGGTTATCAATTTTGAGTATGCTGGTGGACATGACTTGGATGCGTTTAGATGTCAAGGTTTGGTTAGATTAATATAGAAATAGGTAGCAATATAATATATTGCTAGAACAAATCTGATTGTGCGATTAATTTAGATCCCGTGCAATTTTTAGCCCGACCCGGGGATTATGTACCCGTCATGTCCGTCTGTCTGTCTGTCCGACTTGCGAAAACTTTCTTCAACCTTATCCGATCGACTTTAAATTTGGTACACACTTGAAGCATGCAAAATTAGGAACCAAGTTCGAAGATGAGGCCGATCGGTCAAGTTGTTGACCGGTGAAGATTAAATTAGTAATGTGGGTGCATAGTGGGAAATATTCAAAATTGTCCTAGAAGGCCGAAATTTAAAAGCGCCTTATAAAATGACTCATACTGATTTTTAAAATTTGTTCAATTAGGTTGAAATTTGGCATGGGGGTTGATAATTACCTAACATTAAGTAAGATGAAGTTAGATTTCTCAAACTTCATAACAAACCCTAGGTTGAGCTATGCGAAGCTGCACTGATAGGTTTTAATTTGTAAGTTTGAACTAGAATGTAATTGCGGTTGATATTAAACTATACCTATGTATATAGGCGATGTAGTTCTTAGTATGTACATTATTTCCGTAATTTGACTGCTTTAACTTAACTATTTGGGATAACTCTTTAGGAAGTGACATTAATTTTTATCATTTCTTACAACAGTGATAGTGAAAACTACTTAGTGTAGAACAAAATAAAATAGTTTTGGGCAGTAGTTGGTAGGCGGCAGGTGTAGGCGGTGGGATTGATAGGCATGACATGTAGGCGGTGAGTCTCACCTGGTAGGCGATAGGCAGTGAGTCCCACGAAGTAGGCGGTGAGTCCCACGAAGTAGGCGGTAGGCGGTGAGTCCCTAGGCGCTAGGCGGTTAGTCCTACCACATATACCAACAAATGTGTCCATATTCTATTCAAAGAAACATTATATCAATCACACACTTACCCTGAACCCGTCTAGGGAAAAATTTGTATGCCAGGTTTTAAACACATTTTTAAATCTTCCGCATTCTGGGTCGTCTTTCGTAAGTTTTTGTATTGTGGGCTGGATTCAGTAGACTCACAAGCTTCAAACCTATACATTTACTTAAAAATTTTGTTATCAACGAATTCTAGTGTAGGGGGTTGTTCATAAAATTTTTTACTTAAATTTTTGGAACCATACGATATCAGAATATATAAAGCCGAGGGTTAAACCTTCTGAGGTGGGTGAAACGATTGTCAGCATTTCGACCAACTTGTTTAGGTCGGTAAGTTTTCATACAGAACTCTAAAGGGGCAGTAGGTAGAATATAATGTATATTTGTTGAAATTAACAGGTTTCAAAATTTTCTAATGAACCAAATAATTTCTTATGAAATCCAATATTTACATGGTTTTCTGTTCTGAAATGTGGATTAATTTAATATAATAACTTTTATTTGAATTTAATCGATTTATAAGTTATAATAACGTTTTAAATATTCGCGTATATAGGTCTTATCCACCTGGACCTATCTAACTAGCTTTCGATTTTTTGCTCGATTTTTTGCCCGGTTTTTTGCCCAATTTTTTTTCTTGAGCTTCTTTCGCTTCCAATATCTTTGACTTAATGGGTTTTTTCCTAGCATCGTCACGTGATAGGATTACGGACTCTTGGGATGGAACGTCTCCATTTGACTCTTGCGCCTGAAACTGCCGCAGATGTTTTTTATACGCTAACTTCCGTAAACGTTTTCTATCCTCCGTGCTAATGTCGGTCTCAAAATGCATGGGGCCACCTTCTCCGTCCAAACGTGCAAGAAAGGGCTTTTCTCCTAAATCGTTTACAAACGTCATTTCTTTGCTCCCAACATCTCTAGTAATTGTTATCATTCGAAAAGATTTGTTTGATGCATAGAACTGTACAGAAGAACCAGAGCCCGCGGCGAGTGGCTGTGAAAGGTTTCCCAGTTAGTTAAAAATATTTATAAAAAAAGGGTTACGTACCGGATCTCCTTTCTTGAACGATCCTTCTATGTCTGTAATATCAGCGAATATCATAGTATTGATCGGCCTGGTGTTTACCGGATCCTTAACAGCAAACTCATGCGAATCTGATCTTTCATACTGGTATTGTCGATGGTCTAGTTGTTTCTGGAGGTATATAGCTCGTTTCTCCTGTGGCAACTTCATCATATCGTCATAAACGTTTTTGGGGAAGACATGTTTAAACATGAATGTTGGATAAGTTGCCTGCAATTTTAATTACTGTATTATTGATTTTTATAATTTTGACATGCTTACGTACGTATGTAACCAATAACTGCCAGGAAATAATGTAATATACGATTGCACGGCTAATGCTCAGCAAATTCATGGTGCTGTCAAGCATTTATTCATCACTGGTTTATTATCTTATGCGTACGTGTTCATTCGTGGAAGGTATTCGGCCGACTATTATATTTTTGATGTATGGGAAGGTAAGTACTTTATAAATTTGTGTGAGATGGATATTGCCCTCGTAATCACGTAATCACTCATTTTTATCATGACATTGATTCAGCCAGTGTGAAAATCGTGTGTCACATTATGCATAATGCCGCATAAGCGTTGTGCATAATGGTCTATGCAGAAAAAACATGTATGATTGTGCATACAATTTCTGTCGGTTAGTTTGTGCAGAATCGTCTGTGCATAATTATGTACAATTCGACATATTTTATGCATATTCCACCCGGCATAAAATTGTGTGCATAAAATCCAGCCAATTTTGTGCATAAATCTGGCTAAAATTTTCACCTGGGAGCTACACCATTGAAATAGTTTTATTCATTAGTAATAGCAAAGCATTGTGTTTGAAATGCGAGCCATATTTTAATTTAAAAATCACTAATCTAGGTATGTAAGCTAAACGACCAGCGGCCAGCTATTATGAATCTGTGTGTTGAGTATTTCCCACTTATGATGGGTTTATTGTTGACTTTCATGGGTTAAAATTTCGGAATTAATGAAGACAGTGACTTTGTATATTGATCGAGTCGATTTTAGCTGGAAACGTGGTGTCAGTGACCGAGTCGATTTAAACTGGAGGCGTGGCATCCTACATAGAGGAAGCCTTTTTGGCATGAATCGAGGCGACAAAGATTTTAATGGGAGGTAGAGAGTCAGCCTTTTGTGGGGACAAAAGGGTCATCGATAAGCAAATCAATTTTAGCGAAAATCGAGGCGATGGATAATTCTCTATCGTTAAATTAACGATATAATTAATTATTAATTTAATTAATTAATGTAATTAACTCCTAATTCTCCATCACCTCGCTCTGCAGGGGAACAATTAGATTTTGGAATTTTTTTAATTACTGACCATCCATCACTATTTCAAGAACTTAGATTAACTTAAAGATTAGAAAGACAGATTAGCTGAAATAGAATGACATGTCCATTTCAACAGTATGTATGTAAGTATGTGTTTTTTTGTTAATCCTAACTTGATTAATATCTCTAATGGAATTCAACACCTGCTGGATTAATGTGTCTCAAATTAAATTGTGAAAAACAAGTGTGTGTATACATATTACTGTTATATACGAAAATATTTCTTGATCTCAGTTCAATCAATGTCACGCCGAAGCGCTGTGGCTTTGAGTGTATCACTGTCTGGTTCAACAATTTATTGCCGTGAGTTCGGAAATGATTGTATACATATTGAGGAAAATGATTAGTGTGTAAGTAAGTACAAGTGCAGTGTACAGTACCATATATCACAACAAGATCAAAGTACGTAGAATCAAGATAGAAGAGACAGACCAATTCTATCCAACAGAGGATGGAACCTGGAACATAGAGGAACATAGAGAGGAACATAGATTTGGCTAAGTGGCCAAAAGAAGATAACTGCAGAAGAAACTTATTCTGTCCAAATTTAGAAAATGAACATAACTAGGTTAGGGTAGGTTAGTTTCAGTGACACTTAGGGCCGAATTACTAATGAACACTTGGTTTTGAGTGAGGGGTCGCCCTCACTTGAGTGACCTCTTAGTGTGAGGGTACACTCACACTGATTTTCATATTAATAATGAAAACTCGGGGTTCACTCAGCTGAGTGAAGTAAAAGCTCACCCTCAACAGGGAAAATTTTGTTGAGCTTGATTTAAATATTAATTAATTAATTTAATTTTCGTCGTAAATTTGGATTTTCTGTTGAAAATAATTTAAATACACATTAACGTAATGAGTTCTGACGACGAGTCATTGTCACAAGTTGAAAATGTGTCACTTAAAGGGGGGAAAAGCGGTCTCGGTCTTTGACCGAGTTGGATAAGTCGCTCCTACTGGAACTCGTTTCATCAAAGCGTAATGTTCTTGAGTGCAAAAAATCGAACCCCGAGTCGATTGTAAAGAAGCAGAAAGTCTGGATATAAGTGGAAACAGAATTCAACTCGTCAGGCAATGTCGTGAAGAGGTCGTGTCAACAATTGAAACGTGCATGGAAGAATTGTAAAACTCGGGCCAAGAACGAGGTACATATAACTTTATAACATAATTGTCCCATAATTATAATTATTATAATTTCACTCTTATAGAAAGCTCAAGCCGTGCGGAGCTACAAAAGAACCGGAGGGGGCGCACCCGCAAATGAATTAAGCAAACAAGCTGAACTCCTGTGTTCCATCATCCCGTCGCAGATGAGCCCTTTACCCAATGAATTTGATTGTTTATGTAAGTATAATAGTCAGCTAAATTATTACCATAATATGAATTATATTTAACTAATGAGTTGCACTAAAATAAATTTCAGACGGCGAGGAACAGAAGAAGGAAACCAGTGCTTCTGAACTCCCTTAAATCTTGCGATCTTCCGAAGACGTGACAGGTATTAATTATGGTATGTACATGAATAATATTAAATTAACAGTTTGCTATTTATTTTAAATCAACGAGAATGATTTACTTTTCATCTATAGAGAAGAAGAGAGCTCGTATGGTCGACAAGAGATCGTTTGTGATTCAAATGGAGGAGGAGGAACACGAATTAGACATGAAAATTTTGCAAAAAAATTGAATTATCAACAATTGAAAATTCAGAAAATTAAGCGTGGAATGGAGGTTTTTGAAAACGAATCTCAACAAAAACTGAAACTGATCGAGCTCCAGATAGCCCGGTGCAACAAGTAGTAATCTACCAAAATAATGAAGTTGGATTACTTGATACATATTAACCGTTTTATATTCTATTTCTGCTGCTTGTAATGTTTTGTTCTCGCTTTTATGAAAAATGTGTAAGTATGATTTCGTTGGTAACGTTGCGCTTGGCATTGGCTCATGTTCCTCTCTTAATTCAGGCGGATCCACATTGTCATGGTCAAATAAATCCAAACGCTTTCTATAATAATAACCCTGCTGTGCTTAAGCTTACTCATGTCTATTATTTATATATAAGGGAGGAATGATGGCACCTCGTCGTATCGGGGAACAAAGATCATCTATGATAAGCTGGATACAAACAACACTCATTTTTGCCAAGTGATATCTCCGCTTGAACGCCTCTTAATCATACTCCTTAAAAGGATTCAGGCGGTCGCGAAGACGTGCTCGGAAAACGTGGCGTAGGCGTTGTCGGCGCCGTATCCGACCATCAAAACGGTCGAGACGTTCAGACATTGTTAAAAAAAAAATTTTTCTTGTGGCAAAACACGAATTTCTGCTTAAAACACTGTTTTATTTTCGCTAAGTGACCCCCTGACCTCCCTTAAAAATTCTGAGTATTTACTTACACTCAGGATGAGTAAACGCGGTAAGTTGTCATTAGTAATATCAAACTGAGTGAGGGTTCCCTTTCTAGAAAAGTTGAGTGCTTGCTTACACTCAACGTTGAGCTTTCATTATTAATTCAAAAATGGCTAAGTTAAGGGTTCACTCATACTCAAATCCCTTCAAGTGTTCATTAATAATACGGTCCTTAATTATAGTTTAGGTTAGATATAAATGATCAAGAGAGTGTATAAATAATTAGAATATTTAAACAAAATACGAAAGTGTGGCTAAATAGAGAGAACAATTATTATCCGTTATCTGGACCTTCGAAGGTCCGGTTATATACGTATGTATCACATGATTTTTAATTTCGCTTACATGTCTAAAAGGTAATTTTGGAGAACATTTTATAAGCGGAAGGACAGGTTAAACTTTGGGCTTGCAAACTTTGCAAATTATTTTTTTGCAAACTCCTAGAAAATATTGCGAAATTGTTTTGTGTCGAGTTTTATTTCAAGGACATAAATATCTGAGAAGACCATGTAGAAGGTCTTTCCCCTTATTTCACTAAAAGATCTATATTAAAATGTTATCATATCCAACAAATCTTGATTGCGCTACATATCAATTTAGTTTTAATAATCATATTTACCTTCACCAATTCATCAATTTATAGACGTACATTTTTATACTTTATTTTCGAAATGAATATTTCATGACAGCCCAATTTAGTAAAAAGTTAGAAGAAATTTAATCAGAGTCTGACAAGGAACAATTGAGGTTCAATTTGACATCACAATTTCTACTTTAAATTGATTCAGAGTTGTCTACTTATGATTATTTAATATAAAACAATTTAATGTTGTAAATTTTTTAGTCTTAACTCTCCAATACTAATACTATGTGGACATTATACTGACAGGAAGGACCGATCATAGTCGAACTTGCTGTGCAAATTTGAAGAAAATTAATATAGTAAAAGAATCTTTGTATCCTCAGTTTTTTCTTTTAATTTCTGAGTCTGGCTTTTTTTCTCACTCGCAATCGTTTTTCTGGAAACTTTCTGCAGGAAGATTCAATTGTCCAATGGCCTCACTTCCACATTTATGGAAATCTCTTCAAAATTTAGCAGCTTCATTCCACTACTGCTGGACATGTCCTCTTACATGGAACAAAAGCAGCGGGAAATTTGTCTCAACTAACAAGGGATGACCCTCGACTGTAACCCTAGTTCAGGGTACCCACTATGTTTTTTAGAATCTACTTGGACCCCATATAAAGGATCCATTCAAATTTCCGTGTAAAACTCATATTTGGCGAATTGCCGTGGCGCCAAATTCGCCAAATTCGCATGATTTTACTTTTAAAACCGCCATAACTTTTGAAATCCTGAATGGATTTTAAAATTTTTTTGTTAAAAATGATCACAAAGAGTTATATTTTAATACAAAAATAATAATCCATTTTTGCAAATTTTTTGCAAATTTTCGAAATTTCGCTGGACGAGGGGTCGCTCAGAAAAAGTTTCAAAATAACTCAAAAATTGAAATTTTCTGTATTATATTTATTTCTTGAAATTTCCATTTTTCTGATCATTTTAAGCCAAAAATTTTGAAAATTGCGCGGAAACTTCAAAAGTTATTGAAGTTTGAAAATGGTCAAAAATCTTGATTTTTATGTTTGGCGCCACGACAATTCGCCAAATATGAGTTTTACACGGAAATGTGAATGGATCCTTCATATGGGGTCCAAGTAGATTCTAAAAAACATAGTGGGTACCCTGAACTAGGGTTACAGTCGAGGGTCATCCCTTGTAAGTCTCCAGATTCTTTAATTTCATGGATTATAATCATCTACGTTATAACCCCTCTAATGTTTGCCTCCTCTTTCGCAATAATTCTACTCAATATTTATGAAAAAACGGTACCCCCACTCACAACCTTATTGCTGTGTAGCATCTTCACGACAACAACCTTCTTGCTCGTAACGGTGGAATCCCTTATTTATTTAAATGTCGAGCAGATCAAGACCACAATCAACTATTTTGTACAGGCTGCATGGCGGGAACATACAACGTGTACGTTTTGCAACAAAGGGTTTACATTGTGGTCAATAAATCATGAGTACAGTATGATTGAAATTTAAAATCAGGCCAAACATTGGAGGGGGGAAAGTTATGAAAATGCAAAAAGAGCAAAATTGCACCGTAGGGGTTTCTACTTTTACCTTTACACCATGTACACAGTATACGTTGTCAAAAAAATCAAAACTGTAAGCCCACAAATACAAAAGTTGCAGCTACTTTTGTCAAGGCGCGAGGATGATTTTGGGTGTACTCACAATTTATTGGCCACCATGTACATGATCAAAAAACGTATTAAAAATGCTGGTTTTCTAACTAAAATAATTATATCATTTTGTTCAGCCTCCACGATCAAAAGGATAGATCCCCTTGAACTCTTCGTAGACATGAACGTCATCCTTTTTTCCATATATCCATACCTGTCATTTACCCTTCTACTCTATTTTCATTTCGACCCGGGCTACCTCTTTGCCAAATATGTTCTCCACCTAGAAACACATACCTTGCTGGGGAACCTTCTTACCCTTCCTATACGAATCATACAATTCCTGCCTGTCATCCAGTACTTCCGTCTTCTCGCATTTTTGCTTTGCTCACTCACCTTGTCAGCCCTACTTGTGCTCGATGGGGTTCGGAAATTAGACTTGTGGGCAATTTTAATCAGGATTTCGAAACATAGTGCTAGCAAACAAGTGTTAAAATATTTTGAACTGGTAATAATTCTGCAGCTGCTTAATGACATTTTATCCAGAGGTGCAGCCATCTTAATGGGAGTCGCACTACTTTTGTGCGTTCTCTTTAATTACGTGTCCATCAAATTGTACAGTTTTATCCCGATGCCACTTTACCTCTGTTTTCCATCCGTGGCTGCCCTCATCCTGTTGCTAATCAACTGCTTGCTTCCATTAGGGATCAACGTTAATGAGAAGACGGTGAAACTGAAGGAGAAATGGGAGCGACATTTAGCGAGGTGTCGAGACCGAGGATACCAGCGAAGGATACTTATCGCAATTAAACCCCTATGTGTTATCTGTGGTGTCGCGGGATTTAACGTTTTGAAACTTGTGAAAGGGATAAGAGTCTGGTTTTATTCGCAGATATTTAATTATACTATTTCAGCCTTGCTATCCAAATGCAAGGCTTGTGATAAATTTATTTAAGAGCCCTACATTGTGTAAGCACTTCAGTACATAGTATATTACTTAATGCATTGGCAATGTCTCCGGTGTGTCCGCTAGGGTGGCATCGATTCATTGACCTTTGGAGTAATTTTTAACCATATAAAATACCGGACCTAGGATGTACTCTCCAGGCCTGACTCAGAAAAGCTATGTCACTGGTAAGCATGCCACGCGAATTGCATTCAGCATTTTAGCTCGAAGGCGCCGGCGGCTTAGGGCGCCAGAATTTTTCTTGCCCGGGTAAACATATTGCCTAGATCGGGGCCTGAGTATTATTATTATATTTTCGCAATAAAGAAAAAAAAACCATTCCGCTTTCCGGTTGTGCTTTCAATTCTCGACATTTGTTTTTGCATTTCGTTTCATCAAATAAATTCCGTATTTATTATTTATTTATTAAAATTTAACCTAAAAATTTAAACTTAGGTCACAAACTAAGGAGAAATGTAGATATGTTGCCACTATCTTACTTATTGAAATTTTATTATTTATCAAGATAGAAATATGCATCTATTAAGAGTGTTAAGTACATAATTATGAAAAATTGTCATACAACTTCATTATAAATACACTACATAAAAAAACTTCAATATCGTAACACATTCATACATTTTACATAAGTATTTAAAAGATTTTAGCTTAAGAAAAGCAAAAACAATTTAATTCGTCATCATGAATAAAAAACATATGTTTAAGTAACATGTTTTTTCTTAAAATCGGCATCTGTCCGACATAATTACTTTAGCAATTATCCAGTATGCAACCCAACCTCATGGCCAACGCAGACAGAGAAGTCGAGGTCAAGTGGGAATAACAAATTTCTTCTGATTTGACACCAATCTCCCTTTCCTGCTCTGTCTCTTCTCTCAAAATGCGGACTTCCGTGGTACGGTAGTCCGCATTCAGTTCGGGATTTAAGAAACACCCATACTCACTTTTGCTCTGCCATGAAAGAATTTCTTGGATCCAATCCTTCCTAAGAAAATTCGGATATCCGGCCTGCCCGCAGATGAAAACTGTTCCGGAGAAAAAACTTAAACAGCTCCTAATACATATTATTATCCGTCAAATAAATAGTTTTATACGCATCGCATACCATACTCAGCGAACAGATCTTTTCCCCAGGCTGGAAATGCGTTCTGTGCCAAGAGTTCCGCCTCCAGTAACATTTTTCCGCACTGTGATTCTAAAGAAGAGTCCACATTTCCAAAAAGTTCGGGACGCTTGGTATCACAGTTGGTCTACGGAGGGTAAAAATACATTACTTTAAACTATTTAAATCTTATCCGTCATATTTACCCACCTTTCTCGCGAACAATAAATATAACGCTTGATGAGTCAGCATGTACTGTGATTGGGGTTGATCTTTCAAATAGGTCCGCTCGCAGGTGTAAGGCACGTCACAATTGTTCAAAAGTGCCGCGATGCATTGCGTGTTTAAGGTTATCCACACGGTTTCCGGATCCTGTCCAACATTTGGAAAATCCGATCTCCGCTTGACGAGAATGTCGGGATTTTTCCAGTCAGAAAAGTCACGTGCGAAGAGATTCTCATGTTTGGTAATGATTTTGGCGGCTAAGAAATTTAAAATCACCACCGTATTTGTTTCAGGTTTCTTATTAACTGAATATATGTACCTTGCTTGGTCAGTTTATCGTTAATGGCGATAATTGCTTGCGTATTAATTTGCTCGATTAGGGGTTTCACCCTAGCGGGTAGGGTGGAGTTGGATTGGCCACGTTTTTTTGCGTACGCATGCTCACCTAAATAAATCAAACGAAGCGAATTTTTACCCAGCAATTAAGGGAATTCTTGATCATTATGATTTAATTTGGTTAAGGTCGGTATATGTAAAATGGAGCGTTTTTTTACGAAAAAGGCGTTCCGTTATGTCGTTTGTATACTTTAACGTTATGGTCGGTGCAATAAAATTTGACCCTTTTCTAGAATATAGAAATTTTTCTTGGACGACTTTTTAACACTAAATGCATTGCAAATTCAAATTCGAGTTTTTTTTATAAATTTTATGATGCATTTCCAAAATTTGAAAAGTTTTTGAAATATTTTATCATGGGGCATATTAAGAAGGAATAAATCAATGTGCAGGTTTAACTTCCAGCAAAAATAGGGTCTAATTATAAAATACCGACCATAGTAGGACAGGGAAAACGCATGCCAGAAATGAAAATATAGAGTAAACCTTTGTCGCGAAGTGCTCTTTTGATAATCCGTGCAACTGATTTTGACAAAAAAAAACATATAAATATTTACGTACCCTCCAACACTTGAAGACCAACGTGCGCATCGAAACTGAAAATATTTCCGACATGACGTTCCACATATTTGACAGTTCTTTCCATGGCATCCTTTAAAATTTGGATTTCAGCCTCAGATCCAATGCATTGCTCCCGCATGTCGTAGTGATCCCCGGATTGAGACTAACGTAAAAAAACAGAGAATTAAATTCAGTAATTTCTTAGCTGAACTCAAACGAAAATTAGGTCTCATCATTTTCAAAAGGCTTTACTCACCAAATCATTTGGAGAATCCTGACGACTTGGTAGTGGCCAATTATTTAACTTATAACTTATGGATGGACCGTCCTTAAGCATTCCAGTAATTCGGGAGGATGTATTATATTCCACGTCGTGTATTATGATAATAAGTATTGCCTCTGCTTCCTGTAATTTAAAATAATGGCGGATTTAATGTTTCCGTAATTATTATGCAAGAACTACCCAAGTAGCAACGCTAAAATTCACATATATTGACCTGACGTTTGAGTAGATACGACTTGGCCAAATTTTGAACGTTATATTAATGTTATTTCCACAAAGATTTCACATTTAGGTGGAATTCACATGAAATTTACGTTAACTCCACGTTGGTGTGAAATTTTCGTGGAAATCATAGTAATATGACGTCCAAAATTTGGACACCTCATTCAGCGCAATGTGAATATATTGGGAATTTTAGTGCTTGCTACTTGGGTAGTAACCTCCCTTACCGTGACGCTAACTTGCGTTGCTATCATACCAATTATGACAAGAAGAAGGGTTGGAAGTTTCATTTTTTTAATGGATTATTATTTTACTATGTACTCAACGAGGACAGTTGTGAAATCGAAATGAGTTGTAATTTTGGGTTACATCCTTTTTTATATACCCACCCAGGATTTTTTTAGTTTACCAAGATTACCTTTTTCGTCATTAAAGGGGTGAACAATGGTATTAGAGAATATGTACTTATTGTCATTAAACTGTGCACAGCATGTTTCAGAAAAAAAAAGTTTATTTATTTATGTGACTTGATATTTGTGGACCAAATATAGAAATGGGAGTATGATATCACTTATTTACTAAACAATGCAAATAAAATGTAAATCAGGGGAAAAAAGTTGTTCCAAAAACTTATCATTATGTGTAGCCAGTAGTCAAATAAGTAAATCGGGTTCATTTGTATGTAATCGAGATAAAAATTTGTCCTGAAAGACCTGCTTCCAGTTGGATGTACATACAATCTGATCGAGGTTAAACAAACCAATGGTTTCTGTCAGTACGTATTGAGTTTTAAAGGACTTAATTACGAACTTAAGTATATAGTGGTCATGTTGAAACTCGTCAGGTTGTCCTCATGGTAACTAGGGTGTAACTAGGTTTTTAAACAGATTAATAAATAGTAAAAACAATGCAAATAGTAACGCCATTGTGTAAGCTATGCTAAATCTAAACTAATGCTGCCTCATTACTTTACTGGAATTAATAAATGATCTCCGACACCAATTTATAATTTGTTTAACTCGCCACCTAGCGAGTTACATACAGGGTTACGATTGGTAAAAACCAAATTTACCAGGGCGGTGGGAAAAATGCCCTTTTCCCATTTTTACCATCGACCCAAAATAGGTGGGAAATGGGATAAATGGGGAAAACGCTGTTTTTTGTGGTGATTCGAAACAACTTCTTTAAAACTTAATATTTTCAAAATCCAAATTCTTAGTCGTGTTCTCCATTAAATTCTGAGAAAAAAAGTGGGTAATACGGTTGAATTCGGATAATTTTGAAAATTCACATGTATTCTTAAGAGAAAATCAGCAAAACATTCAAAACTGTTCAAAAGTGGCCGAGTCTTATATCGAAATTTTCGAAATTTCATAGAGATTACGAATACGCAGGACATCCCATGGCAGGTGGGAAAAAATAGTTTTGGACGGGAAAAACGAAACCCTGGTTACATATAACAAAATAAGTCTAGCTATTGAATACGTAATTTGTAGAACGGCCGCGATTTAAGACGTAGTTTTAGAAATATTTAAGTAAAACTTTATTTTTTTGCTTTGCCAAACCCTTCCAATTTGCACAATATTCGTGAATTGACAAACAATTCGGGAATCCATCACTGTCACTAGATAAATAAATAACTGGGTTGGTTTCAATCTCAAAATAAATTTGGGACATATGTAATATATCCCGTTGTTTGATATTTGCTCCGCCTGATCCACTTAGGAAGGTGTGGGTGGTGCACTGCTCACAAAATTCGCAACGTGATCAACATGTCTAAGGAGGAAAGTCCACGAACATGTACCTTTCAGAACTTAATGATTTTTGCAGGGTTGGTACACCGTGTCCCAAATGTATCTGCGCTCGACAGGATATCCTTCTTGTGATAATATTTGCATCCTCACTCGTGTGTTCACTAGATTGCATAACGTTTGAGGCCATTGGGTCAAGAAATGTTTAAGAATAAAAATGAACACAAAAGATGTAAGGGAAAAAGTGGATGAAAACCGCGCGCACGAGTGATGCGCAGAAACTTTTGGGACACAGTGTACATTTGGGCGAGTGCAGGATAACCCTAGAACGTTTTGATGCCATGGCCCCATTTGAAATAATTTAAAAACTTATAAGGAATAAATAATAAGGCGGCGCAACCACAAACGTATGTTCTTATGGTCAGTTTGCTAAACTGTTATATAAATTATTTTTGTATGCATTTATTATTCCGAACGTCTCCTTTCTATTTCTAAATATTCATTATGCTAATGATTGGAATAAAGAATGAATAATTTTGAAAACTATGCCAATATAGAACAATCAGTAATACAATGATTAATCCACATGTATTGGGGCCTGGGTGTTAAAGTCGTCATTTATTTACCATACTTGTCGAAGAACTGTGTGCCTACCGTAACCTAGATTTTGAAATTACTCCAGATGCTTTTACTGCATCCTCCTATGTCGAAAAAGGTCGCGGCACGGGCCTCCAGTATTTAGCGTTTACTTGGGCTACAACAAACTAAATCTTTCTTTCTCATACACATACTTCCACGCGACATGAAAGTAAATAGGAAAAAAATATAAAAATGTATAAGAAAATCATTCTTTAAAGTCGTCTCATCGCCATCGCCTCAACACGAACAGAGGAGGATTTGCTAATGGCCAAGTTGGTGAAGAGGATATCATCTTAAACCCTGACTTAAAAAACAACCCGACCCCCCTGAATGCACGGATGGACTACATCTGTCTATTTGTTTCTTGAATAATAATTAAATACTTACTTTCCAATGCATAATATGGAAACAATTGCAAAAAATTAAGACATATATACAACCAAAATATTTTTATAAGGCTAACTTCTAAGATCGCTTTTGTAAAAAATATTTTAATAAAAAATACAATACGATATTATTTTCTCATTGGAAACTAATGGCTGCGGAATGATATCGTATGTACATTTATTACAAATGTCCATGCCTGCATGTAAATTTATATTCATAGTAAAACTGACTATTGCGAAAACAATGTATTAAGTATTAATTAATTTCGAACTATTCATACCGTATGGCTATTTTTCGTAGCCTTTAATGCTGTCAAACTTTACAGTATTTTGTGGTCTGCTTAAAGTTTAAACTATAAACTGTCTCATCCGAGTTAATGAAAGTGGTACACTTAGATATTTAACTGTCACGTACAAGTTCTATCAAAGGGACGTATTTATTTTTAAAAAAATCATGGGACGTCATTTTGGTCTTTTTTAGAAATTGTACGACGGTATGTATTTAGATTTAATACATGCCACGAGATTATTACTGATGTAAATTTTGTAAATTTTGAATTAGTTGTTCCATTGTAATGCACGTACCTTTGCCTTGAAGGAAAAAAACTTGCTGAGAAACAAATACATAACACAAGCGAGGGAATGTTTGTTTGAATTACATGTTTACATTAATGTCGGGTCACGTAGGCCACTCACATAAATACAATTTAGATTGTTATATAACCTCATGATCTCGTCCTCGGTTTGGTTTACTTGGGGTCAGTTTACAAATTGTGTACGTGCAGATATGCAGGTATCAATTTACGTAATATATTAATTTCCGCGAAACATGTCCACTTGTATATGAAATAAATATATTGCTGCCGTGCGTTATGTATTTACTGGAGAAACCGTATAGCCATAACCGGATCGGGAACGGAGGAGGATGAACGGGAATATGTAGACTCGCCATCCCCAACTTTTGCTAACATCATTAATATGTCATGTTGCCTAATGGAAAGTATATCAAGCGATTGTATAGCGCTCAGTGCTCCGAGCGAAACGAAATTGCAACGAAATTATCGTATTTTCGTTTCGAAAGCAAATGTGATTTTAATTCGACTTGTCGAAACGAAATCTCACCCCATCAAAACGAATAGAAACGAAATACTAAATAGTTAATTTCGTTTCGGTTCGTATATAAATAAGTTTGATGTAACGAAACGAAACGAGATATTTCGACAACTATTTAAGGGGTCGTATGTACATGAATGATATTTTCGTTTTAGGGGCGATCGACAAGCAACCTTTCTGTTATAGAGACTGCATATCCACAAACAGTGTTATGGGTGACATAAACACGGCTCCCAACTTTTCATATTTTCTTAGAAAATCCATAATCTAACAAACTTTTTTCATGGATGATTTCTAGAAAACAAATATCGTTTGAAGATGGTTCTCATAGCTCAAACATTGTTCGTGGATGAGCCATTTGATCCAAAAATTGTTAGTGAATCGCTCCTACATAAAAGGCTAAGCATGATTAATTTACCACCCTGGAAATATTTCTTTTCGTTTCGTCGAAATTCGAAACTTTCGATTCGAAACCATTTCGCGTCTGATTTTACATAACAATTTTCCAGCTTGAATAAATGCCGACGTCGTACATACCAATATTCTTATAAATTCCTCCCTGTATTACATATGCACAGGATTGGCTAGTGAATAAACTTCCCTATCAGAAGGAGAACAGTGCTCTCTTTCCGTCATAATTCTGTTTAAACTTTTAAATTTTTTAAGCTCAATGAAGAATAAGCAGAAATGGTGGACCCAATAACACTCGCAGAAATAACAATGAATAAATTATGATGACAAGATTTCTCAAAAGCATGCACGCCTTTGCTCTGAATGGGAATACGGGATACGTCCCATTGGAATATGTCATAGTCTCATTTTCATTGATACCAAACCTATATAAATATCACACCTTTTCAAATATCGTCAAGTCAAATACTTAACCCCAGGGAAACAGAGAGCATTCAAAAGGAAACATGTTATCTGAAAAGGCATTGAGTTTTTACCATACGATGCTACGGTTTGGGTGTCTCACACACATTGTCCGTAAGGCCAAAATATTTTTTAAACTATATTTTGTAATGTTTTTTTTTAATTTGTACCCACGTTTTTTCCAGCTTATGGTTGGGACATAGAAAAAAGACGTCTCGTAAGAGCATCTCGGATTGGTAAAGGGATTCACTACATCCATTTCACGTACATAACATGCTTAATGATTTTCTCTTCTGTCCGTTTGGCGAATTCTATTTTTCGGCCAAACTGGGAAATTGCGCTGTTTGGAAAAATCGTAAATGCCGTGATGGCTGGGGCATTTACCTTTACTTTTATTCTACTTTGGCAGTACGTGTTTCTGGGGTAGGATGGAATAAGTAATTATTTTTATATTTACCCGCCAACCGTCCCAATAACCATTACATTATACTTTACAGCGATGAAATGATGGCATTTACAAATACCTTACTGGAAAAACTGGAGCAGCCACCTCCTACCGAACTAAGCGTGAGGGAGGTCGTTAAAACCAAATCTAGTTTATCCCGCCAAGTGCTAATTGCCGTGATTCACTTTACTATCAATCCCATCGCGCATGCCATCGTGGTTCCTGCCGCCCCCTGCACGCAGAACTATCTCAGCTCGCTTTTTCATGACTGCGGATATGTTGGAGATCATAACTTTATGCCACTGATTTACGATATTCCTTGGTTTTTTTGTGAATGGTATGGCGTAACTATAAACCTCTACACGTGGTCGTTCAACTAGGCCATTATTTTTCTTGGTTTGGCCGGAACCATGCAGGAGTTGCGGGTGGCAAGGTAAATAATTTAAATTAGAGATTAAATAGATTAATAATTAATTAATTAATTAATTAGTAATTAATTATAGATTATATTTCACAAATTTACTCTAGAACAAAAATCAAGTCCCAACGAGACGGGGCAATTGCACACTACCGCCAAGTCCAGCTCATGACAAGTTTGCTGAACAGTGTGGCTGGATTTTATTTGCGGTCATTTCCATCCCTACTGTTCATTGTGCTGGCACTTTTACTATATGGCTGTATTCTTCTCTGGGCTGATGATATCATTGCGAATCTCATATTTCCCGCGTGCGGGGCACGATGCGCCTTTGAGTCGATGACCCCATTAGCCATGGCGGGTCGGGTGAATGATGAGAGCAAAGCGTTAAAACGAGAATGGAAGCAATGGAGGGGTGAGCCTTGGGTTGAGTCTTTTAAACGGTCTTGCCCCAACATCACATGTGCGGCGGGATCTATGTACACGTTTGAGAGCACGATCATCATCGTGAGTCTGGATAATTTGAACCAGCTCACTTGCAATCTTCTGATAGCATTTCAGTAATTCATGTTGCAATCTGCGACATGAAATATACCATGTGTGGAACTACTCAAATATTTTGCTTTTTTTTGAATGCCCGATTGCTTTTTTTTTGCTAGAAAGACTACTTATAACTTAGGACTTCTACATATAGATCGGATATTTTGCGTACTCCGTACTTCGAGTACTCCGTACTCCGGCAAATCTCGCGTACTCCGTACCCAGGAGTACGGAGTACGTAATCCGGAAGCCGGAGTACTCCGACCTATGCTTCTACCAGTTTGCTCGTAGGTTTGCAAAATTTATTTATTTTTTCAACATTTGCGTAAATTGCGAGGATGTAGCTAGGTAATGAAAAATATCTGGTTAAGAAGTACATATATACTTAAAAAAAAACCTACCGTTTTAAATCTCATCTCAAAATTTCACTTCAATCATATCATCTCTTATCTTCATCAAGTTAGTCTGCCAACCAAAGGAAAGGAAGCCTTTCCTTTTGCCTTCCTGATTCCTATATCGTATACCATGAAAAGAAGGGAATCGTTTCCCTACCACTACTCACCCAGTCCCAAAAACTCCCCCCAACCCTCCACCCAACCCTCCTACCCCCCGTTCCTTACTTCGCCAAGATAACCAGCCTGGCCCCCCTACCTTGCATAACAGACTTATAGACCTTCCCCTTCCTCTAATTGGCACCAAATAATGTTTTTTTTTGTTTTCACTTTCTCCACTTTCACTTCCGTTTCAGACAACTTCCGTAACAGAGTGAATCTCTGAATTATAATATAGCTAAGGTTGTTAATATTATAAGACTGATTTTAAAATAGACGCATTGTAGTGTAGATTCTACACTATAGAATTCTTACCCATGAGAGCGTTAAACTGTGACAGTTTTTATTTTCTTTTACATTGTACTCTAAAAATAGCTATCGAGTTAAGGGTTAACAAACGGCTTAAAAGTTGTTCCAAATGGCCTGTAACGATTAGAAAAATGGATGCATGGAGAATGAGAAGCTATTCCTGTCGGCAAGAAGGATTATGAAGGTTTGCTTTAAAAATACTGACAGAAAGGGTCATTGACGGATGCGGATATTTAATAATGCACTTTCTGCATAATTTCCAGATCGTGTGTCCTTTTATAAGGCAGTGGGAAGTAGAGTCAAATACAATATGTAACAAATTAATATGCATTATTTGCGCGTAAATCAGAAATTAATTGTAATTATGTACGTTATGCAGAACAATGTAGAAGACAATTTATTTTTGCTTGGTTTCTCCATTGTTTCAGGCCAAACCAACACAGATTTGATTTTAGCTTATAGCCAAAGCTGCGTATTAATCTCACCCCAACTTTAAACGTAATAATCCGACCCATGCAACCCGCTTCACCACCTAATTGACTACATTGCACAGACCCATCATGTACATATACACATTTCGACATAAGCAGTATGGAACTTGAATTATCATGCAGCACCAAAGTCCGCATTTACGTGACATATTCTTCAGCAAAGTCTTACCCAGAGGTTTTCCGTAATATTTAAAAATAGAAGGAACCGGACAGACTTAAATAGAAGGTGGTCCGAACCCTTTTCTTGGTCCTTTTACATATATATGCCTAAACTCATGGTCTTCTGTCAAGGCAAACCAATCCAAGTTTTAGAAACACCATTTACTTCTTGTAATTATATCGACTCGAAGACATTTCACTGCTTTTTGTTTTAAAAATACTGTTTCCAAAATAGTTAAACCAAATTCGATAAGGACTACAATAACACAAACCTTTACGTATAATTAGAATAGAGTTGAAAAACATAATACTAATCGTTCAAGTTACTAAAGATACAAATCTGGATTTTAAGAGATATCAGGGCACCCCAAATTGTTAAACCGGACAAGGTTTACCCCATACATTGCACGCATTTAGATTGTCATCAAAATGTCTGAAAATTCTACTGTTTCAAATTCAAAAGCGTGGTTTGAATGTCCAACCTGCTCTAAAACCTTCAAACTCAAAGCCAATCTTGTCACGCACACCTTCATTCATGGCGGAGGTATTGCCACCAAGTGTGAGGTATGTACGAGATAAATCCCTTCACTCATTTATAGTGGAAAACAAATAATATCCAATTCCTTAAAAATATATGTATCTTTAAAGTTATGGACTTTTATGAAACTTATTTGAACCGTCCGCAGATTTGCATGAAAACATTTAAGAATCATCTTCGTCGCAACGCACATTGGCGAATAATGCATTCCGGGCGACCCAAATATCCTTGCGATAACTGTGATCGGAAGTTTCTTACACGAGAGAATTTAAAAAAACATGCGCAGACAGTTCATACAAAGACGGAGAGACGACCTCGTCTCCCCTGCGAGTTTCCAGGTTGTGCCAAAACCTATCTGAACAAGGTATCCGTAATGAAGCATTTCCGTGCGGAACACGCCAAAGTGCCCGACCGATATGGTTGCACTCTATGCGGAAAGGAATTCAAAGCTCGGGGTGACTTGAGATTACACATCAGTAGCCACACAACAAAGAAAACTAACAAGTGTGAAACTTGTGGCAGAAGTTTTACTCAACTTTGTTCCTTACGAGTGCACGAGGTAATTCTTACCTGAAAAAATAAACAAATGGAAAAAAATAATAATTGATTACCTAATTGCTTTATTAGGAAACTCATCAGGAGAAATCCTTGCGGACAGTCTTCCCATGTAAACTTTGTCCTCGTAGCTTCACGGCTCAATCGAGTTTTCTTTATCACACAAAAGCTTATCATGAAAACAGGAAATATTCTTGTAAGCTGTGTGACAACAAATTGTCCACAATGCAATCTTTGAAACATCACATGATATCGAAACACTCAACAAATACAGAACTTCGTCATTCTTGTAACCAATGCGGGTACAAGGCTAGAGTAAAGGGAAACCTAACACGCCACGTAAGCCGGATGCACGAAGGGGTCAAAAAACACGAGTGCTATTTCTGTGGCTGTAAATTTTACGACTTTGCTAATTTAGTTAACCACTGCCGTCGAAAACATACCTTGGAGACGTTTTCGCGGAAGATACCAAATTAGCCTTGTGTCACGGAAAACTTGCCAAGGGTATAATTTACAGTAGTGGTTGGCGACTATTTATGTACATCATTTCGCACTATTTGCATGAATTTAATGGCCCTTATCAAATATAATTTCCGTCAAATTAGCTGATTTTCTTCATCACCTTTATAATTATTTAGCGTAAAATTAAAAAAAATAAAAGTGTTTAAATTTATCTTAATATATTTCTTACATTTTGTTTTACATTAGAACATTATCAAATTATCTTTACATGTCGAGGGAGCAAATCAATTGTCAATTCCATAAATTTTAAAAAGTGCGGCAAACTTCAAATAAATATTAGCAATAAAACTTACGTTTTTAGTGTAATTGTTATTGTCAGAAATGCCAATAAAAGAGGGAAATTAAGGCACTTTTTTCAGTCGATTTCTATTTTTTTCAACGTTTAAGGCAAACATTCAGTCCATCGTAAGGCATAGTTAGTAAGGCTTGGTTTCAGTCAAATAAGGCATCCATTAAATACCACCCAATCCAACATAACCATTTCTTCTCCCTACCGGTCTGAAATTCGCGATCCCTCCCACAATTTCCCAGTTCAGAGTGTATTGGCCTTTACCGCCACGAATACGACCTGATAATGAACTAACTGGCTCAAAATTGAGTAGATTTGCAGCAAGTAATACTTGAACGAATCGAATTTGCAAGGTGTTAATTCGGAAAATGCATCCTCGTGCTTAGGAGTTTTTTAATTTTACTAACATTTATATGCGTCTAGTTATAAAAATTTGGTTTTTGATTTTTCCTGAAAAATTTATAACGAGCGAAGCGGAAATTGATTATAGATCATGATGTATTTAGTATATATAGGTGATATGCATTTACTTACGAAATTTCAAGTGTCTGGGATGAAATTTAAAATTTCACATAACATATTGCAAAACGTATGTACCAACCCGTGCGCACGTCCCCCTGCGCCTCGAGGCAGTTGAAACAGAGTTTCTGGCCTGATCATAATACCCACTTGATATTTCTCCACAGCTGATGCTCAATTTCTAATCAGATTTTATTCACATACAAATATACGTACAAAATAAAGTTTTGTGTGAGCCCAACAAATTTTGGAAATATTTAAAATCTCAGCATTAACAGTTTAAAGTGAAATAAATATCCATTTATATGTCCACAAGTTTAAAAGTATATATTCCATACATATTCCACCACCAGGAGTAGCAAATCTCACTTGTTTTGTAAGTTTCTTGTACATAATACCCACCAATTATTTCCATCTCTATATACTTCCGTATGTATGTATATATCCCGTATTTTTTTTACATTAGTCTAATGATTTTAAGGTAAATTTTATGTAAATTTTGTTTGAGCAGGTCTAACAAATATTATACAGCAGCATATATACTAATTGGTAAGTTAATAATATTTTTGTTGTATACATCTCACGTTATAAATCCTTGCTTGACAAAATATTCATGTCCATCTGTTTTTACAATCTTAATCGCTTAGTCCATAGATTAAGCATTGTTTGACTAAATAGTTATGTTGGTTAGGTTAAGGTTTTTCTACCAGGTTCCACTTGGTAATGTATATAATTTTTAATTTTCCAAAAGATTTTTATGTACAGAAATACATAACTTAGTTATGCCCAGCAACCAATATTTAACATTTAAATATCTGCACAGATCCTGCAGCGCCTATTGCTTCATCCCGTTCTGCAAAATGGACCCCTTCTCCAACCAAACTGAAACCCCCGCGAAACCTCAAGACAGCAATTCTGCCTTACGCGACTTCATAATCCAACTTAATTTTAAACAACCATTAATATTTTCCGTCCACCCATTCGCCCAGCAAATCAAGCGCTGGAGGCCCTCGTTCCTAATTGAATGCATGGATGCAGAGAAATGCAAACATTGTCCATCCTGTATTAAAAAAGTATCCCCGAAAATAACCGAAGTCAATGATAGGAATACATTTACTAAGATGATTAACCATTTAGTCGACCAACCCATATTCGCCGTGGATCTTGAACATCACGACGGACACTCATACTCTGGAATAACCTGTCTAATTCAAATTTCCACTAACACCCACAACTTTCTCATTGATCCGTTCAACCTTATTGAGGAAATTAAGTCCGAGTTGAAGGATGTTATGCAATGTGAAAACCACATAAAGATAATGCATGGGTGCTTCAACGATTTAAAATGGATGCAGAGAGACTACAACATTTTTCCATGGCCGGTGGTTGACACCCAGCTGATTTACCGAGCCCTCACTAGAGGCAGTGGAAATCAATCAGAGGCAAATACGTCCCTTGTAAATTTGATCAAGAAATATTTCCCTCGTGAAAAATTTGAGAAGTCGGTTGAACTGACGTTATCGGATTTTCGAATTCGTCCAGTGCCTGATAATCTAAAGAAATACGCAATACAAGACACTTTATACTTGTCAGGAATACTTTACCAGATGAGGCAAGATTTTTTGACTAATACACAATTTGAAGATGCACTAATCAATTGTGTACAAGAGGTGGGAAGGAAGGCTCTCTACGCGGGAAAAACATACCCTACCGCGCAACAAGAAATGGAATTCCGTATCACCCGTAACCAAGATATGGTCAGAGCGCTCCATGCCTGGAGACATGATTTGGCCTGTTTGAAAGATGAAAATCCCAATACACTTTTGCCTACGGCGAATCTAATTGTTTTATCAAGGTTGGACCTAACTGACCTGGGGGATGGGTCGGATTTGGGAAAAATGTATGAATTGGTTCCTGTCAAAAGTAGGGAACTACTATCTCAAGAGAATTTGTACATGATGAAGACAATTTTAAAAACATCGCGCTATGAACCACTCTCGGGAAGAATTATATCATGCCGGGTATGCAACTTGGATACTATTACCGTTGACGGGGATGAAGATTGGACTACGTTTTCTGGGAAAGAATTAAACATAAGTTGGACACCAGGAATACGATTTGGCAGAAATAATGGTGATATTTACATACTATGTATGCAAATATGTAAATTATCTAAATTAAAACTATTAAGTTCTGCTAAATTTGCTTATCTAAACCTGATTTTTATATTTATATGTATGTAGCCATGGATAAATTAATGTGGGACATGAACACCTTCTCGCATAGCGTGACTAGAAAAATTGGATTGTTTGCATTCACTGTGAAAGATATGGAACATTTTACACATGAAATTTGCAGTTTTATGAAAGCCCTAGAAAGGAAAATAGTATGCACCGTGTGTCACACACCGATTGCAATCCATACCAAAATGGTAACTATATATGTACACATATTTTTGACACATTTGTATGTATGCATTCAATTAATTACATATTTCTTGGCAAAATTTGTCTTATACTTTTCCAGGAGCTCGTTTTCGATATGGATAATAACAAATCTGCCAATGCGAGATTATGTTGCAAATCCTGCCTACCCAAACTGCATTTTTCGTCCGGCAACCATAAAAAATTCCAGCTCGGACACACCATCTTGCAAGAATTTGATACCTTCACCACAAAAATGAGCAAACAACCGAATTGCAAACAACGTCTCACAGCAATTTCAAAGATGCTAATAAATTGCGAAATGGAATTTATGTGTCAATATTGCTTCTGTCATTTGGAAAATGTACGTAATTTGCCTAAAGGATTATCTTTCCTAAGATTATGGAAATATTTAATTGGTAATTATGGTTCTTTTAGACAATGCTAGTGAATCGTGAATCGGGTTGGAAATCATGTTGTGACGGATGCGATGTGTTGTATATGAAAACGTATGAAAATCGAGGGTCCATTCGTTTTGCAAAGATGGACGAAATTGTTTCTCTATTTGTGAAGATATTGGAGAATTTATTAAACTATTTGACTCGAAATAAAGTTCCAGTAGGGTTCGACCACTGTTCCATGCGGGATGAGATAATGGAGAACGGAAATATTAGAACCCCATACTTAAAAGAGGAAGGAAGAAAGTGTAAGCGTTTCTCATAGGAAAAATTGTTAAATCGTATGTTATACTACATGCAAACAAATACACGCGAGAGGTTAGGACACTGATCACATGTATGTAAATAAAAAAAGATTAATTATATAATTTATATAAGTTATTAGTTGTATAATTTATGCATGTATGTAAATATGTAGATATGTATATGAGAGACATAAGTATGTTACACATATCTTTATCTTTAGGCAAGCAGCAATCAATTGATATCTGAATTGTGTTTTCGGACACTATTTTTGTAGAAAGCAAATAAATCGTATGTGTGTAAATGTACAACATTTCGTTTTCTTGATTTTTTACAAATTTTCATTTGTGATTGCAAGATTGACGAAAATAAGTCTGTCTTCAGATGTGGATTGCAAACTCAACATGGAGCTGCAGGATTGCAGAAGAAAAAAAAAATCGAAAACAAATCAACGAAATCGTTCCTATTAATAATAGACGATTTTAGTTTAATTTTTTCATCAAAAACCTAACTTGTTAGCGTCAAACATATTTTTTTTATGCTAAAAAAAGTCATGAGCACTACCTTTACTTTACTTTACATACACAAATAATACAGCATGGGACACAAAAATTTCGAATTAATTAGAATTTTTCTTGGCATAAGAAATAAAACGATAGTTATTTTAGTTGTGCATAAATTAAATAGTTTTTTATTAAAGGTCATCATTTAAATACGGAGTTTATACAAGTACATATTTAGATATAGTGAAAATATAAATAAAGTTAACCTTTACCTACGACATAAAATCATTATTTGCCACCGAGGTAAATGTACATATTTAAATGTATCAAACATTTCGGAAAATTACGGATGTCATCGATGTATGTAAACAAAGAAAACTTGTAATCGTTTTAAAAAAAAACAGAAAATATTTAATTCTATTTGGCTACTATTTACGTTCGTCCAACATATATCTTCACATTGTCTAGAACTCCTTTTCATGAAAACTATTACTATTTATTAGGGAACTTCTTTACACAAACCCATTTTTAGCCACGTATGTAATAATTAACTTTATCCTGGATCCGTGCGTTTCCCAACTTACATCTTCCACTGTTGATTTTAATGGTGTACATAAGAGATACTCTGACATTGGTTAAATTGCCATTGAACTGTAATTCTGAAGTGCACAATTAGTTTATTTACCTAAATAAAACAAATATAACAAAATATCATGTATGTAATAGTTAAAATAATATCCATTTTATGTACCTTGAGTAAAATAGTGTGTTTCCAGAAATTCGCGTATTAATATTTTTCGTCATTATGCATAAGCTTACCAACGGTTAGCCATTACCATTAAATGCGTCCATTGTTTTGTGTCCGCGTAGACAAACAAACACTCTAAATAATCCAAAATATGGGTTATTACCCATTGAAACTTTATTTGGCACTACATATGTACTTCCATTGGAATAAATTTGAAATTTGAGTGCCTGTAAATTTGTGTGTTTAAATTCAGTAATGGATATCATTGGACTACGAATTTTATGAATAAAATCCAGCCAATTTTATACATACAGCTGGCTAAAATTTTCACCTGGGTGACCTTTGTAACTGATCATTTTAGGAAATATAAATAATTTCTTAAGCCGTTGGTCGCGCCGAACATTTGTCTCGGCGGCGCGCCGATGGAATTTCTCGGCGACAGCGGCGTCAAAATTCGCGTCGGCGCCGGTGTCGCGTCGGCGCCGGTGTCGCGCCGGCGTCAAATCGGCGGCGTGGGGCTCTGGTCTGTATTTATGCTACATAAGACAAGGGGCGTGACGATAATTTTGTTTTACTGGTAAATATGTAAGTTTAGTGGATCTATTTAGACAAACATTGAAAATTAATAGGTTGTGGGAATATAAAGCAAATAGGAAATAAAGATAAGTAGCTGTTACAAGGTAAGCTACATGTGTTTTACGACATTGATGTTCATTCATATCATTAATTTAATGATATTTGGAATTATTATGAAATACGTTTAGAAGCACAATATTCACGAAAAGAAGGCGTTAAATTTAAGTGCATTTGTAAGGGAGTTTGCTTATGTCATTTATGCATAAGCAAATACACTAGTATTCATAATAAACCTTGCAATGCAGCATTCATTACAATTCCTTACGCACTACCCGTTAAATTAACTGGTTTTTATACACATTGAGTAGTGGTGTTTTATATGCTCTGTACAAGTACATATGCGTAAGTAATAAACGGAATGACTTTGTTTATATGGAAAGTGTGCGCATTGTTACCAACCGGTTCGATTTTTCCGGATTGAATGTAAATACGAGCTTCTAGTCAAGTCAAGTCAAGTCATCCTTTATTCAAGTGTATGTAAATAGATGTCAGTTAAAAAAACTGGTTTGAAATCTATGACACAAATGGGTTATAAGATTCCTTACTGCACCAACCAGTCTTAAAATTTTATTACCCCGACAAATATTTACATAGATTTGTGGCTTACAGGGGCACACAAGAATTTGAACTTGTTTATGTATGAGTCGTATAAAAATCTCGAATTTAATTAATCCACAATCCTGATGGACTCTCAGTAGCCCATCAACTTTGATTGGGTGACGACGTTGGGTACTAAACATTCACACTCATAATATACATTCACATACGAATAAGTTGGCATAACACCGTTCAAGATTTTGTGGAATGATGAAATTAAAATTTATAGTAAGTTCGCAGTGACATATTTTATTGTAAATTTACCTGATTGAAGCTAAATTCTTCCAGTTTCGTAACACAATTGGACTAATATTTGTCCTCGGATTGTATAATGTCTGGCCTACAGTTTCCTCCAAACGAACAACGAACGAGATACTTGAACGTATTTTGAAAACATAGGAAGAAATACCAAGACATCGTCACGACATTTGGACGACTGAGTTTCAGAACTTCTCTGAAACTGGGAAAGTAGGCATTTTTGTATACTTGTGGCGCTCGATGTCGCCAAAGCCTATGATAAGGCCTGTAAAGACGTATTAATGCATAAGATAAATTGGTATGGTGTAAAATCTAAATTAATTTACTCTCTCTTAGAAAATAGGATGCAATTTGTGGTTACGTCGTGCAGAAATTGTACAAAAATATCTCAAACTCTCCACACTAACCTAGGTTTTGCTCAGGGCCTATGTGTCAGTTGTATTCTATTTCTAATCATGATGAACGACCTTCCACTACATGTAAAAAATGTATCATGTTTGCGGATGACAGTGGTGTGCTAATTACAGGTCCCATTGAACATGTTGCCATTGTAATAAGTAATTTAGAAGATGATCTCAACAGTGCAATTACGTGGATGGAAGCGAACAGGCAGGAACTCAATGTAAAAAAGTGTGAATTCATTATATTCGCCCCGTCTTATCAAAAATCATTTGTAGCTGATATTGTGGTGAAAATTAAGGGTATTCCTATTAAAAGGGTTACATGCACGAAGTTATTAGGGGTACTAATTGATGAAGACCTAAAATTCAATTCACATTGTGCAAAGGTTGTAAAAAGTTGTAATGCAGCGTTGTGGTCTCTAAATCCGTTAAAATTTGTACTTAATTATAATAACAAGAAAATCGTTATACAAGCTCTAGAACTTAGGAAACAAGTAGGTCTAAGGTACTTGCATGCCAAATTTGACCGTCGCACGTGACATAGTCGCTGAGAAAAAGCTGTACAGTACCATAGCTGAAAGAGTGACACAATTATAACCTGCATCCGAGCATTATAAATACTTTGGTTGAAACCGTCTCCCGAAATTCGGATCCGTTCTAAAGTTATCTAATGCAGACGACAGCCATGAAATATTTCATACAAGGTGTATGATCTTTGCTCGTTTCATGAGACAAGCAAGCGTTTTCACAAAAAATAACATATACGCAAGCATACACTGTAAAAAGTCTGGTAGAGTCATATATAAACTACACGACAGTAATGATTTTGGTAAATATTCAATATGAGTAGATAGAAACTAAATACTGCGCAACGTCTAGCGTATTTACCAAAAGTACACCGAGCAATAATGATTTCATTACCAAGCTCTGTAGAGTCATATATAGACACCGAACGATAATGAATCGTTTTTACTCATTACCACATTTCCTACAGTGTTGATGGTAAAAAACAGCACTTTACTTTACTCTGCATACACAAATAATACACCATGAGACACAAAAATTTCGAATTAATTAGAATTTTTCTTGGCATAAGAAATGAAACGATAGTTGTTTTTAGTTGTACATAGATTAAATAGTTTTTTTATTAAAGGTCATTATTTAAATACGGAGTTTATACAAGTACATATTTACATATAGTGAAAATATAAATAAAGTTAACCTTTACCTACGACATAAAATCATTATTTGCCACCGAGGTAAATGTACATATTTAAATGTATCAAACATTTCGGAAAATTACGGATGTCATCGATGTATGTAAACAAAGAAAACTTGTAATCGTTTTAAAAAAAAACAGAAAATATTTAATTCTATTTGGCTACTATTTACGTTCGTCCAACATATATCTTCACATTGTTTAGGACTCCTTTTCATGAAAACTATTACTATTTATTAGGGAACTTCTTTACACATACCCATTTTTAGCCAGGTATGTATGTAATAATTAACTTTATACTTGATCCGTACGTTTCCCAACTTACGTCTTCCACCGTTGAGTTTAATGGTTTACACAAGAAATACTATGACATTGGTTAAATTTTCATTCAAATGTAATTCTGAAGTGCACAATTAGTTTATTTACCTAAATAAAACAAGTATAACTGCCTTGTCAAAATATCAGGTACGTAGTAGTTAAAATAATATCCATTTTATTTACCTTGAGTTAAATTATGTGTTTTAAGAAATTCTCGTATTAATATTTTTCGTCATTCATTATGCATTTGTACTACAAGCTTACCAATGGTTAGCTTACCATTAAATGGGTCCATTGTGTTGTGTCCGCATAGACAAACAAACACTCTAAATAATCCATAATATTGTGTGTTTGAGTTATTATCCATTGAAACTTTGTTTTACACTATATATGTACTTTTATTGGAATAAATTTGTAATTTAAGTGCCTGAAAATTTGTGTGTTTAAATTCAGTAATGGATATGATTGGACTACGAACTTAGGAATACGATGTTTGTCGAATGTGAGATCCCAGTTAGAAATAGGATTTATAGCGCCAAGTATAAAAACGAGGAGAGTATGGCTGGGGCTTAGTGATTTTAGAATTCTATCAGGGGTAGAAACCTAGTAAGACTTGGAATTGTTATTG